ATTTGCAGCTGTTTTGGAACTGAACTACATGTATGCACCTGTCTTCAGTCATCTTAAGTAATGATGGACCATATATTTATCAAGCATTGGGGTTGGAGAATTCTGTATGTACTAAGCAGAATTCTGTGGTCAAATCTCCAAAGTCTGAACTAGTTCTTATTATTAGGTGGCAAATATTATTATATTACTTAACACTTTTACCTTTTTATTTTTCATTCACCACCTGGAATGTTAACAACAAATAAGGACTTTACAATTCATTTGGCTAATTTTTTCTTCTCCAGGTTTTGTTGTATGATCTTCGGTCTACCAAACCTTTGTTGGTGAAAGATCACCGATATGGCCTACCCATCAACAGCGTTGCCTTCCAAGATAAACTGGATGTTGTGTTGTCTTCTGATTCAAAGATCCTCAAAATCTGGGACAGAGAAACGGTAAGCAGGTGCTTCAGTTTGTATGACTGTAATTCATTTGTCTTGTTCTTTGTGCTAACAAGAAGGCAAATGGATAACACCTTTGTTTCTAGTTAGAGAGGCAAAAATCAATCACCTTTCTTTATCTACTCTATTCACACACACAACACTTTAAAACTTGCTAATCCTACAAAGCACTTAGCTCTTTAATTCCCATGAATAACCAGGACAGAATTTCTCCTTACAATATCAGTACAATATTCATGTGGTTGATTCAATACTGAAATTCTCCAAACCAACGTCATAAGAATTGCCTGACAGAAAGTGATGAGAATTAAAACAGAAGGGGTTAAAACAATGTACAGGACACATGTGCAACTTGGTAGTAGAGCATTGTGCATTGCAGTACAAAATCCAAAGGTCTGAGAAGTGATTTCCATTTTTCCCAGCCCCTTTCTTTGTGACTTATGAAAACATTAATTTGCTTTATTCAAAAATGAGCTCAATATTGACCATTTTTCATATTCTATTTAATAACCCAATAATTTGGACATTGCTGATTTAAGTGCCATACAGGATTTTAGTCAGGTGCCAAACCCAATCGATGGCTACTAAGTACTCTGTATAGCTTAGTGGTAGAGTATCAGGTAATTGTGAAGAACTTCTCCCTCAAAAAACCTGTCACAGCAGAAATGTTGTAGTTAAATTGTGTTATCAACTCATTTAAAAGTAATGAAATGTTTTTAGAGCCTGTTGGTTATCTGTCAGCCAACAGGTTTTTCTTCAGATGGCTGTTTTTCACATATACAGAGTATTCAGAGTTTGAAATCGGAAGGTCTGATGTTAAAATCCTCCCAAGAAACTCTGATTTTTTTTGTCTCATTGCTCTTGACTAGTAAATGATGTCTTTCTTTATTTAACAACCAAGCTTTTTCTTCATCACATTGCACACACAAATACTTTTAATATTACTGATCCAATTTACTGATGTTACTTGTTCCTTGTCATTGACAGGGAAAACCGTTCACTTCCATAGAACCACCCACAGACATAAATGATTTATGCTCATATCCTGACTCAGGTTAGAGTAGTTTTAAAATTACCTTTCACTTCTTAAATGATGCTCATCCTCTTTCTTATTAAAGAAAGAGGTGCACCTAAAGAAAACCGATAGTGTTAGTTGATGATGACAATGATTATTTCATGATTTTGTGCTCTTAATCCATGGTCAACTAATTATTGGTTTTTTCTATTGTTTGTTTATTTTTCAAAGGTTTAGTTTTCATGGCAACTGAATCTCCCAAAATGCTTGTTTACTATATCCCAGTAAGTCATGATTTTCATAATTTTCTTTGTGTGTGGAAAAAATGTCAAGATGGTTGAACATGCAACTTGATTGTTCACTGTCATCATTCCAGGCCCTAGGCCCAGCTCCCAGGTGGTGCTCGTTCCTGGACAACTTGACTGAAGAGTTGGAAGAGGATCAGCAGCCAACAGGTGAGTGAACAGATCAGTTGATCAACCAGAAATAAAATCTTTCATGTAGCCGGAAAGCAAACAGTTTGGTTCATGGATTAAGTCTTTAGTCCACATGTAGCATACCAAGATGCGCTTCATTGTTACCCAGGTGGAATAGCATCTGGCAATATTGAATTTTTTTTGTTCCACAAGTTACTTTTCAAAAAGTGTTACTCTTTAATTTGGTGTATTGTTTGAACTTTATAATCCTGTTGAAAATTAGCTTTGTCAGCTCTCCTTGTTTTTTCTACCTTTTGCTTGTTTGTTTTTATTGCTTTTTTACAATGTACATAAAAGCTGTTCTTGAACAGTGTTGATGTGAGTGTTTCTATGATAAAAGTTCTGTTCAAGCGCTCCACTGAACAAATCTACTGTGGGCATAAATGTAACAAAGAACATTTCTGTCAAGTAGTTCCAACAAAGCTGGCTCTCTTCCTGAATTTTCTTGTTTTTTTATTTTTATTTTTTTTTTTTATTTTTAGTGTATGATGATTACAAGTTTGTCACCAAGCAAGAATTGGAAAGTTTAGGTGAGGAGTCTGGCACCTTGATCAGTTTGTGATGAGGAGTTTTTAGTGGAGCTGGGACTGTATTATTGCTTACTGTTGCCAAGTATAAAAAAATAGAAAAAGCCCTCCTCTTTACAAGCAGCCACACCTGTAGGGTAACAAACATTAAATGGCGGAAATATATATTATACTTCACTCTTTCGTCCCCCTGTTAATCAGCCATCGTCGCTTCATTTCAAACAGACTGAAATCTGCAGTAATTCTCCCTTCCTAATTTGTTAACATGCATTTTCTTGCGAATAAGTCGCGAGAATTTGTTGTTTTTTTAGTTAGATATATTGTTAAGGCCTCCTGATAATGAGGTGTCCGTTCAAAAGAGAGAGGTACAAACGTTTGTGGAAAAAACTTTGATTGTCGTTTATCCAACTATTTTTCATTATTTTCAGTTGATAATGCATTTTATAATGAGTTAGTTTCCTTGTTTTCCAGGTTTATCACATTTGATGGGAACGAATCTATTGCGTGCTTACATGCATGGGTACTTCATAGACATTCGACTTTATCACAAGGTAATCAACGTTTCTGGACTAACATCATTCGGCTGAATTGGCCGTTAAACTCGATCGCGAATACCATATGTCTGGGCTCTTTCCTGACAGTTGATCCAGTGCCATTGATGCGACGGATTAACTAGCGACCATGGACAAATTGTTAGTCACAACTTTAATGACAAGGGTATCATTCAAGACTGTAGGCTGGACTCTACATTCATAACTCATAACTCGGATATGCCCTGTACCGAAATAGATTTGAATTTCTCGTTTGTTCTCAAGCGACTGTGTGCGTTCTTTTTTTCCCCTTTGTGTAGACTCTTAAACAAGTCTCTAACCCATGCTATGATTTGAAAGTTTACAGGTGAAACTGCACCTGTGATCCCCCACTTTAAAGGTCGAGTACATCTGTAACCTCTCCACAATGTCGAAGCAGCCTCGTCCCAGTATTAAGCTGATTCTTCAAGTTGTACATGTCCTTTTTTACCCAATGTGACACTAATCAAAAAAGCCCAGTTTAGCTTCGGTATTCTACCTCCATACATTTATATTAAATTTATACTAGTTATTTAAGGTTTTTGTTCTCCCAACTGAATTGCCTTTTCAGGCCAAATCTCTGGCAGAGCCGTTTGCATTTGAAGAATATCGTAGAAAACGAATCCAGGACAAGATCGAAGAAGAGCGCGCCAACAGAGTCAAGCTTAAGGTTTGTAGGTGGACAGATTTTGACTTTTTTCGTGTCTCCTTTTTCTGATAACTACTCCCTAAATACATTTCGCCAATTTCATGGGGAGAGAAGCGTAAAAGTATAATTTTGATTAACACGAAGCATCTTTCTATACAGTCATATACTCACCCGCGTAAGGTCTTCTGTCTTACAGTAAGGGAAATATACAGTGCCGATGAGAAAAAAAGAAAGAGAGAGAAAAAATAAAGAGAGAAGAGAGAGGAAAGAAAAAAGAAAAAAGAAACTTTAGTTAACATAACGGACATCATTATGAAGGGAATATAGTTGGGACGAAAGAGAAAAATACCTTGAAGGAGCTACGTAATTATCTGCGGTGCCTGTAGAATTTGGTTATTAAAAACCAAGCTGAACCTTTTCCATCCTTAGATGTTAGCTTCCTCGTACCCTGTTGGATTGTTCTTCCTATTTTGGTGTTTGTTTGTTTTGTTTTTTGTTTGTTTTTTCTTGTTATATATTACCACTCTAATAGTTTTATATTTCCCTGAGGCTGGAAGGAATTCTGTATTTTTAGAAAAAAAAAACATGTCTTAATTATTGCGACGTAGTACAAACAAGCAGTGTCAAGAGCAGTGTCACTTCTAAACTCCTCTGACCTGTAATGAGCAAAGGAAACGTACCCAAAACTCCCAACCCAAGAGCAACACATGAGCAATGGGAATTTATTGTGGCTAGTACCTTGTAGCAGTCATCAGTTAGCAGGCCCTTGAGTATAAATGAGTAACTCATAGTGTTCCGCTTGCAGAAACTACCGAAAGTGAACAGAAATTTGGCTGAGAAGTTGATGGACGAGAAACAAGATAAGAGAAAAGAAGCAGTTGAAGTGAGTAGCCATTCGCTGTTGCGAAGCTTCGAATCTTATTCAGTCTTAACCATCAAAAATTCTGCTATTGTCCTCAGCTTTAAAGAACCAGCGAGCTATATCCGTGTATCGTCTTGGTTTCTTTCAGAATTCAGAAGTGAATAATCCTCTGGGTGATGACAGGTTCTCAGCCATGTTCTCCAACCCAGACTTCCAAGTGGACGAGGAAAGCCAGGTAGGGTCTGAATCGATCTTATCTGTGATAAGAGGAGCAATTTACCATGAAGGGTCCGAAATAATCAGAATTGCTTTAATTTGCTTTACTTAGCTATGCGATTTGTGTAGAAAACACGCACCATCGTCTCTGTCAAAGATGCCAGACTAAAAACCAATATTCAAGGGCAAGAAAACGGATCAGGACAAGGACTAACTGGCCGCATACTCACCTTTCTTTTTAATGTTAGACGATTTTCACGCATTTTTTTGTCGAATTACACTGCAGGAATTTAAGCTTCTTCATCCAGTTGTGTCCAAACACGACCGAGAAAGACAGAAAAAACAGAGGGACTGGGAAAAACAAGCGTTACTGGAACAATTTGATGAAGTTGAGGTAATAAAACGTCAACTTAATTATTTTTAGGCTTTTTTCTCTCCTTTTTGCCTTAATGTGTTTTGGTTTGTTAAATTTCATGCCAAGTGAGTGGTATCATTTTTTTTTTCATGGGTAATAACAGATGGCGTTGCTAGTGAAGAGGTCAAAATAACAGCTTAAGAAGAATGTGATTTCTTACAGATCGCTAGATAAGTGTAGCTGTATATGAAAGGCAGGAATTTTTTATTCTCTCAGGGCAACGGTCGCTGTCAGGGAATTTTGCTTCGATTCAAATTGTTTAGGTAATTGATTTCTCTTGCCTTGCAGGAGCCAGAAGGTCGGCCTAGTGAAGAGGAGGAATCTAGCAGCTCAGAGGACGAGCGTGAATGGCGAATGGAACTGAAAAAACAACAAAAAGAGGCTAAAATGAATGAAGAGAAACCTGTCGCAAACAAACCCAAGTTTTACGAGCTGAAATCTGGCGAAAATTTTAGGAGCATGAAGTCTGGCAAATCGGCATCGGCTCTGAAAGATAAGAAGTACGTATGTTTATTGGCTGAATCTTACAAAGGGGAAGAGGGGGCAGTGTTAGGATTGGATTCTAGTCAAAAAACGGGTCACACTTCTTCTCGAGTTTAGAGGAATCGACAGTAGTGGAGCCTAAAGTCAAGAAAGGGGTGAAGGGGCGGGGTCGGGAAGGGAGGGTGGGTGGGTGTAATTAGTGGACGCTCTCCTTTGGTACCCTCTTGGGACAAGACCTCATATGTTGTGACCCTTCTATTCGGTGGAGTACAACTGTTCAAAAGTACTTTCGAGCGATGGTATCAGTAATCGTGCCTTACTTCAGAGAAGGGGGTGAATGAGCCGGAGGGTATCAATGTAGTTCTTGGACGATTCATTTCAACTTTGGCATAAGACTTCATCTGTTTTAATGCTTTTATTCAGTGGAAAACAGCTCTCACTTTCGACTTCTGGTTATTGCTTTCTGAAGTGATACATCAAGCAGGTGAAAATGATGATGAGCAATCCTTTCGACGGTTTTTGTTCGTAGTTAGCTACTGTATACAGCCCATGGGTATACGAGATAAAAATTAAAAGGACCATGAAATTAGTGTACACGTATTTTATCGTCAGGGTTTGTGGGAGAGCTTTGGTTGCCCTGTGTCACTCTATGTGGTGGTTCTCGTCTTTAAGTCAGGAGAAAGATACCAACTTTCGTTTTAGATCACCAACATAGATACCCCAAGATGCAAGCATATAACGTGTGTTGTGTTGATTATGCTATAGAATATCGCTTGGAGAACGTCTCCTACATGAACAAAGTTCTGGTGTAATCAGATCAACTGGCTCGTCTTTGGGAGAGAAAGAAATCACGTTCCAAGTTAAAAAGGTAAGTTAAGAATCGGTTTTTTTTTGTCTCGTGCAAAAAAGGAGTTATAGTAAGTTTCGTGAATCTCGAAAAAATTTAGTCTAGGTTTTCGATTTCATCGTGACCTGTGTTATTTTCCTCCATCCCTGATTATTTTATTTCCTTTCTGATCCATTAGAGTTTTTTTTTTTCTTCTCTGGTAAACCATCATTATGATGATATGTTTTTTTTTCTTCTCTGGTAAACCATCATTATGATGATATGTTTTTTTAATGGTACATCGTACGTTCTAAAGGTATCGTAATATCAAGAGGATCTGGATATTCTCCGTACTGTTCTCTTTACACTTGCTTAGGTTCTGACAAGGAGAATTTGTTTAACAATCGAGAGCTTCCCTTGTTGAAGATCATTTCCTTTGTTCTTGTGACCTTAATATTTGATTCAGGGTTGATTTTTTAAAGAGAAATTAGATAGTGGTCACTCCTGATACGGCCACAAATAAAGGAATAGTTGGGTTGATAAATTCGCTCAGTTCCCCAAGGGAAGCCGGTAAAAATCCTAACACACCAAGGATGCAAAGGTTTTGAACTCTTCAAAATTATTTTGTCGTTTCTTTAGAGTAACAAAGAGAAACAAAGAAATGAGGAGATTCGTGCTCATGTTAAGGAAAGGAAAAGGCTTCGCCGATCAGCAACTAGTGTCTTAGGGAAGGAAAAACGCGGGCCGGTGTTTTGGCGAGGAAGGAGAGTTAGATGACAAAACACAGCATGAAATCGAGGGAAACGGCATGAAAAAGGGGATGCCGTATGTAGATCTGAGAGGAAGTAAGAACGTTTGTCCCGAATAGGACTGCAGGCAGTATACTGGTGAACAGAAACGAGAGTTTTCTCGAATGAAACGGGTTCAAGCCAGCCCAGTTCCAAGGCGTTTCCTTTAGCATGTAGTTTGGGAAGGAAAGTTAGGTGACGTCATAGTATAATTTAGAGTCCAAATTCAACGCAGGTGCGAACGCTTAGCGACATCGCTGAACAATAAGGTGTCAGCGCTGGTTTTTGTCCATAGCCTTATTGATACAATGGTATTGTAAAGGACTGGCCTTAAATTCTACCTGTAGATTTCAAGGACTCTTTCTTGAAGAGTTTTTTGCGCTTTTGATTACAGATTTTTACAGCGATACATCAAATCTATCAAAGTTGTGTTCATCGTTTCTTTCTTGCTTGTTCAAAAGTAGGTATTGTCTTGACGGAAAGAATTAAGCGAGTTTGGCAACAACTGAACGCTTATTTGATGAACTGATTTTAAAAAATTTTACTCTAATACATTTTGCATCGAGTTTTCCCACAAAGCTAAATCAGAGGATGGTGAAGACCCAGTGAAGCCCAAGTTGTGAAATATTTATGTATGTACCTCGGTAGCGAGTGTTTAAAAAACAAGGCCAGGTAATGCTGTGACATTACCGACACGGCTTTTTTTGTATTTGTCGATAAATTTCAATTTCTTGTTACAAGCAGCAAACCATATTTTATCTTTATTTGATCACGTGAACGATTACTTTATTTATTTTTCCTGATCAATGCACCTACGTTATGGAATTTAATGATTAAAAACTAAAATAATATAAAGGGAAATACTAAATTGATTCTCACAAAGGAAACGACAAACTTCAGGGAAGTTAAAAGCAATACAAGACATTCGCATCATAAAAGCTGACCAGATTTTGAGGTGGATTTAAAGTTTTCGAGACAATTTTTCGTTAGGTACCATTCGTCAACCCTACTCTGTGTTCTTAGTTGGTACAATATCGCGACGCAGAATAGGTATCTTTGCAGACTGTAATGGGTTTCAGCTTATACACGTAAAACGATCCACAGTTTCGTACCTGTATGTAGGTATGATAGGCACAAGTACACGAAGGAGCAGTTCGGCCGAAACATACTTTCTTGGTTACTCTTCCATCTTCAGCTGACGGATGGCCGCCGACTAACCAACCTGCGCGTTCCGTATCGCAGGAATGAAATTTTGCACAGTTGGTGTTCATTTGTCTTCCCTCTAGAAATCGGTACCAGCTCTCAATGAGATTATCGTCACACTTGTGGCTGGCGCCATCGTAACCCACTCGCCTGGTGTCGTCATCAATGATGGTGTGATGAAAACATTCCTGTCTATCGGTACCTAAAAAATGTTTGGGAAAGCAATTCAATGAAGAACATGAAACTCCTAGTTGGCGAGGATTTGAAAATGCATAGATATTGAAAAGTTTTCTACGCCACAGGCAGCTTGACTAACCTCATGGCAGTTAACAATGGAAAAGGATGATGTGGGAGGTGAGGGGGGAGAAGTTCTAAAACGTGTGTACTGAACTGTTGGCTGATTTCCGTAACATACGTAGAATATATGCAAGTGGTGATGCGAAGTTACGAATTTCACAGTCGAGAGTTTATGGTATCTTTCATGGGTGAGAGCAGCGAAAGAGTGAGAGATGCTACTGGTTTCGTATTTCCAAACGACCTTGCTACGTTCTGTTTATTGAACAGAAATTGATGATCAGCTGCGCTTAAGATTCTCCTGTGGAAAATTCTACTCGCGAAAACAACGCATCTCTTTTAAAGAAATGTTTTGTTCTACCCAAAAAAGTGAATGCTGATAAAGAGAAGGTGCCTTTCGTTAACAATCAAGCATCGTGTGGACTAACTTGAATACCCAATACCCTGACGACTTTCAAATATTTGCATGTAGCAACAAAAGTATTGTCTTCGCATGAAGGAAATGTTTGGTGGAAGCGGGAGAAATCGTCGTATTTCAACGACATTTACTCTTCTGAAACTAACAAAATGTGTAACCTACACGAGGTATTTTCTCCGCTCCATTTACCGCTGGGTAAACATCGTCTCACCGCGGGCCCAATCATGGTGTATCCCGGATGACAGAGGTACCTGACAAATTCTCCTGCCCAATTGTTGCTTTTCATGATCATTGCATTGGCTATATTTACCGGGTTGCCACAGTTGGGTAGAACTAAAAGAAAAGTGCGCTTAAATTAATTAAGATAATAAAAATAAAATAGGCGGGCTTGAAATTCCCAAGTTTCTAGAACAGGAAGGTCTGGAGTAAATTGAAGGAGATAGTCTTACATGGTGATCACCAACCTCATCCATTAATTAGCAGGATGTTCGGGCTATCGAGGATTGAAGTCAAAAAATTGACTTACACACTCTTGAATTCGTGTTTACTGTATCGTTATACACGTTACGAGCGACGCAGCTGTAGGTGCCCTGGTCCTCAGGCTGGAAGGCATTAATCACAAGCTCGCTTGTAAACTCGTCATTGGTGACGTTATTCATAACGTTGATGACGTTGAAGTCATTCTTGTACCACGTGACTGTAGGCAGAGGTGAACCTTTGGCAGAGCAGCTGATCCGCAGAGTTTCTCGAATTCCCGGTGCAGAGATTGAAGAAGAGGGTGTTTTGGAGAACTCAGGAGGAACTAGCAAATGAACACGATTTATAAAGTTGTTACTGAATCGTCCGAAGATATAATGTGGGCACTGCCCCGTCCAATAAATTCAGTTTCACCAAATAAATTTTTTCTTTTAAAATGGATACATCATTTTTATACAAAAGCAAGAGAACCATTTAAAACGAGAAAAACCGATTAAAGCCCAACTGAAAATGAACTCAAAGTCTTAGCCACGAAACTTATTTTTAATCAATACTAAATAAAAACATTTTAATTTTCACATGTCAAAAGCCATTTCTCAACTCTAGAGCTAGTTAGTTAATTGTAATTTTAGGGTTTTTTGGAGACATTTTTGTCATAAAAGGAAATCATTTTAATGTAGAAACAAGCGAAAATATTAAGTATTGATTATGATTCCTGTAATCAATGCCCTTGGTGAGTGTAAGTTTTAAGGTGATTCCTCAGTTTTGCCCTACGCATCCTGTGCTGCACACAAAAATCACGTAATCAGGGGAATGAGCGCGCGCGCATTCCATGAACTCAGTTGTTTTTCAATCCATGGACCTGGTAAAGAGGTACGATGGTCCTTGGCTCTTAGACTGACATTAGAATTTCAAAAGCTTTTTGGCCGCCATTTCATCTCTAAGTTACCCAAAGATTTCTTCGTTCTTCTCTTAGTCTGTAAAGATCACATAACTCACCGACTGATTCGACTTTCAAAAAGGTGCCATGAATCACCATTCCATGTTCATTCCTCGCGGTACACAGGTACACCCCCTCGTCGCCACTTTTAATATTTTCAATAAACATACTTCTATTTGTTAATGAACTGCGACCCTGAGGGAGTGGGGCTGGGGGAGACCTGTTCCATTCAACCACAGGGGTGGGGAAGCCGACCACGTCACACAGAAGTTTTGTCGTTTTACCGAGAAAGCCGGTCACTTTTCCTGGGAGTGTGTTAGAGAATCTTGGAGGACCTAAAAGCAGAACACGAGACAGGGTTTTTCTTTGGGTTGTTATCAGAATTGAGAACGCTCTAACGCATAAAACGACGGTCACAGGCAAAGATGGGTAGGAGGACAGACGAGCAGATCGATTGGCAGACAGGCAGACAGACGGTTAGACTGGGACTGACAGTCAGAGACAGACAAACTGGGAAACAGGCAGACATACAGAAAGGAAGGCAGAAAGACAGACAGACTCACAGGCAGAAAGACATAGACAGACAAACAGAAAGATGAGTAGAGAGACTCTGGATCATAGACTTGCACAGGACGAAATCACATGTTTCCGTATTTCTGAAACGAGGCGGAAACATGCAACTCCATGTTTCCGTTATGTTTATGTAAAAGTGGTCCGGTTCCGTTGTATACGCAGCAACGGAAACGCGAGAAAACGTTACGAAACCGGTAACGGAAACACAGGTTATCCGTCGTGTTTCCGGAACGGTTTAACATGTTTCTGCCACGTTTCCGTTTACGGATTCTTGCAATTTCGTCCTGTGTTGGAAGCTAGATACAGGCAGAAAAGATTGCTATCATGTGAGAAAGCTGACCAAAATACCCAACTGATCAAAGGCAAGACAAACAGAACCAAAGATATTAAAAAAAAACGTGCTCACCAAAGACGATAAGTTTCACACGTGCCACTTGAGTACCAAATACATTCTCTGCCAGACATTCTATCTTTCCTTGATCTAAAAATCTGACGTTCCTCATCTCAAGCTTCTCATTAGTAACTAGGATTCGTCCACCATTACCTTGGATTTTACTCTGTAAAGAGCACGTGATCTTTGGGACTGGGTTACCGGAGGCAGAAATTCGAAGAGACAAGTTATTTCCTTCTCTGACAGAAATTGAGGAGGGAATCTTGGAGGAGAACCGAGGAGGAGCTGTTGGTCGATGAGAATAATAAACATCTACTTATAAATTTTATTTTTCAAAATCAGGTGAAAATATTTTTTATCATCACTGTGTAAATGGAAAGTGAAGAATCGTCTCTTGGCTACCTGATGTTGTTTCAGACTTCATGGGATCACCTTAACTCTGTGATAACCTAAAACACTGATAAACCTCATGTTGGAATTTTTGATAGCTTATGTTGATGAATCTAGCTGATAGTCCTTTTTTTCTCAGCTAAGTGTCAAAGGTGTCGTAGAACTGGGAAATATTTTTGAACAGCCCACCTATCTTCGGCTGGAACAAATGAGTGCTGTTAAGTCCATTCGGAATTAAAAAGGTTCTGCATAAGATACACTTACCAAATAATGTGACTTGAGATTCCATTCGTTTGGTCAACTCCTCAATGTATGCAACATTGATTTTTGGACTCATTCCAGGGGCTCCTCTGGGTCCTCTCGCGCCGGGTGGCCCAAGTTTACCAGCTGGGCCTGGACGACCGCGACGACCGCGACGACCGCGAGCCCCTTGTTTTCCTGGAGGGCCCTGAGCACCTATATTGTGGCCATTCATTTTGCAGACATAATAATGCTGTTAGCATCAGTACAACCATCATTATCAACTGAATATTGCCGATATCAATGCAAGTACATCATCTAGGAATGATGGGAGTCGTTAACCCCCTCATGAGGATATTCAAGATATAACATTTTAATAATTTAGTAAATGTGGGTAGATGATGGACCTTTGAGAAAAATGTTTTTTTTTTTCACGAAGGCCATTAACAACTCTAAGGGATCAGTCCTTATTCATTACTCAAAGAGGTGGGGTAGGGGGTGTTCGGAGGTTTTCCGGGGATCACATGGTTTCAAGGGGGAACGGAGGGGGGATCAGTAGTCGCCAACAGAACTTTAAGGGGGGATTGTAAAGGAG